CTGTGGTAAATAACTCAATTTTAATATTGAGTGCTGAATAGTGAATACTATTTATTCATTGTTCATTGGTAGATTTACGGCTAATAAAAAAAAAACCATACAATTGTTGCTCAAATAAATTATTAATACATTTGTTTATTTAATATTGAATAAAAAACTTAAATTTGTATATGGTTTAATTTTTTTTTTATATATAACAGATGTTTATTTACTAATATGTATATATAAATATATTGAAATTCTATGAAACCAATTCGCCCCCTCCTTGAATGAGATCCGCTACTGCAACTAATATTGATTACATTTTAAATAAAAAAAAGGTGGGTAAGTGGATGTCGCTCTGCTGTACTGTAGGTTACAAGTGGGTCACTGTATGATGGATGGTATTAAATTTGAATTCAATGATATAATATCATTGTATAAGAAAAACGATTCTGAGCGGAGACGGTATGTCCTTCTAGGTATGAGACATATTATATACATATCTATGGTATTAAAAAAATTGACCTATAATGTATTCCAAATTAATCATATCACAATATCCATTAGGTACTTATAACGCGTTATACACCAACAACAAACCCTGATACTATCATAGATATATAGTAGATTACTTTAGAAATTTCAAGTACCCACGAATAGTATTATTCAATCACAACAAAATAACTAAAATCGTAATTCTTGGTTTAAATATGAAATTTTGTCTAAATTTGAAATTAAAATGTCTGTAAAAAATAAGTGTGTTTATATATTTTTTAGATTTTTTGGTTACAGTATGAATTATTTAAGAGAATCTTTGTTTTAAATTTTCAACTCTTAGTTATAAAAACTGAACATTTTATAATTTTTTAATTCCAACGATTGATAATTTTCGAGATTTTGATAAATTTTGTCAAAATTCCAACTTTAAATGCTTATAAAAAAAAATCGTGCCTATGTATTTTTAATATTTTTCAACTGATATTGTAACAATATATCAGGAGCCTTGTATTAAATTTTTACACTTTTTGGCCCAACAGATAAAACTTTATTGATATTTATAGAAAAAAAAACTAAAAAAATTGAAAACTGAAAATGTCCGTAAACAGCTCAAAAAGAGTCAAAATATTTTCAAAATTGTATGGTGTATAGGAAATGCTAATATAAACATTCAGTGAAATTTTCATGTACCTACAGTTATTCGTTTTTGAATTACAACAAAATAAGGAAATCGCTACATGAGAAATCGAGTGAAAATCCAATGTTGTAAAAATTTGAATTTCAAACGCTCATAAAAATTTAATTTGACTGTCCGGTAGAGATTTTTTTATTGATAAAGGTAGATAATCTTATAAGGAATCTTGTGTTTCATTTTCAAATCTTAGATTTAAAAAGAAAAATTTTTGCGAATTCTTAACTCAAAATAATTTGCTAATTTTCGTGATTTTTCCATATTTTGTCAATTTTTGAACTTTAAATGCTTATAAAAAAAATTGTGACTAAGGATTTTTAATATTTTTCATCTGCCTTTGAAACAACATATTAGGAGCCTTCTATTAAATTTTCAAGCTTTCGCAACCAACAAATAAAATTTTATTGATATTTCTAGAAAAAAAACTAAAAAAAAATGAAAAATGAAAATGTCCCTAAACAGTTCAAAATAAATCAAAATATTTTGAAAATGTTATCGTGTATAGAAAATGCAAATATAAACAACCAGTGAAAATTTCATGTATCTACGGTCATTTGTTTTAAAGTTACACCAAAAACCAAATTCGATTTTTTGGAAAATCGATTTTGCGTAAAAATTCCCGTTTTTCCTTAATTTTTATGTTGTTTTTCCCGGCGCTTGTGAAAACTACTGGAAAATGTTTACTTTTGACCCCCCAAAGTACCAACTAGATTCACTTTCCTATCAGAAAAGGTACTATTGAAGAAAATCGAAGCACTTTTACTGTCCCAAAACGTGATGACAGACACAAAAATATAAATAAAAATATAAATAAAAATATAAATAAAAATATAAATAAAAATATAAAAAAAAGGTGGGCAAGTGGGTGTCGCTCTGCTGTACAGTAGGTTACAAGTGGGTCACTGTATAATGGATGGTATTAAATTTGAATTCAATGATATAATATCATTGTATAAGAAAAACGATTCTGAGCGGAGACGGTATGTCAGTCTATGTATAAGACATATTATATACATATCTATGGTATTAAACAAAAAATTGACCTATAATAGGTACCTATAATAAATTCCAAATTAATCATATCACAATATCCATTAGATACTTATAACGCGTTATACAACAACAAAAACCGTGATACTATCATAGATATATAATAGTACACTTTAGAAGTTTCAAGTACCCACGAATAATATTATTCAATCACAACAAAATAACTAAAATAGTTATTCTAGGTTTTTTAATATGTAATTTCGTCCAAATTTGAAATTAAAATGTCTGTAAAAAATAAGTGTGTTTATATATATTTTAGATTTTTTGGTTACAGTATGAATTATTTAAGAGAATCTTTGTTTTAAATTTTCAACTCTTAGTTATAAAAACTGAACATTTTATAATTTTTTAATTCCAACGATTGATAATTTTTGAGATTTTGATAAATTTTGTCAAAATTCCAACTTTAAATGCTTATAAAAAAAAATCGTGCCTATGTATTTTTAATATTTTTCAACTGATATTGTAACAATATATCAGGAGCCTTGTATTAAATTTTTACACTTTTTGGCCCAACAGATAAAACTTTATTGATATTTATAGAAAAAAAACTAAAAAAAATTGAAAGCTGTAAATGTCCATAAACAGCTCAAAAAGAGTCAAAATATTTTCAAAATTGTATGGTGTATAGAAAATGCTAATTTAAACATTCAGTGAAATTTTCATGTATCTACGGTTGTTCGTTTTTGAATTACAACAAAATAAGGAAATCGCTACATGAGAAATCGAGTGAATATCCAATGTTGTAAAAATTTGAATTTCAAACGCTCATAAAAATTTAATTTGACTGTCCGGTAGAGATTTTTTTATTGATAAAGGTAGATAATCTTATAAGGAATCTTGTGTTTCATTTTCAAATCTTAGATTTAAAAAGAAAAATTTTTACGAATTCTTAACTCAAAATAATTTGCTAATTTTCGTGATTTTTCCATATTTTGTCAATTTTTGAACTTTAAATGCTTATAAAAAAAAATTGTGACTATGGATTTTTAATATTTTTCATCTGCCTTTGAAACAACATATTAGGAGCCTTCTATTAAATTTTCAAGCTTTCGCAACGAACAAATAAAATTTTATTGATATTTCTAGAAAAAAAACTAAAAAAAATGAAAAATGAAAATGTCCCTAAACAGTTCAAAATAAATCAAAATATTTTGAAAATGTTATCGTGTATAGAAAATGCAAATATAAACAACCAGTGAAAATTTCATGTATCTACGGTCATTTGTTTTAAAGTTACACCAATAACCAAATTCGATTTTTTGGAAAATCGATTTTGCGTAAAAATTCCCGTTTTTCCTTAATTTTTATGTTGTTTTTCCCGGCGCTTGTGAAAACTACTGGAAAATGTTTACTTTTGACCCCCCAAAGTACCAACTAGATTCACTTTCCTATCAGAAAAGGTACTATTGAAGAAAATCGAAGCACTTTTACTGTCCCAAAACGTGATGACAGACACAAAAATATATATAAATAAAAATATAAATAAAAAAAAACATACATCATTGTAAAACCAATACATTCATCGCTCCGCTCAGAATCTAAAATATAAAAACATACATCATTGTAAAACCAATACATTCATCGCTCCGCTCAGAATCTAAAATAAAATAAAAAGTGGTATTAACTATTAATATAGAACTATTTTAAAATTATTAGATTTTCAGTTTTCTTAAAAAATCCAATACAGAAACCATATAAAATTTGATGTGGTATTTTTTTAATTTCAGAAATTGTTATTATCTACTTTTACCATACAATTATACAAAAACAAACTTAATATTTGTTTTCAACGAAAACAATATTATTTTTATTGATGTCAATTTTTTGTGAAAAACTATAAATTAAAACTAATAAAATAGACTTTATGGTATTTTAATACAAGTATTTAAATGTTGTTATAAATACTTTTAAAAAGTTTTCAAAATACTTAAAAAAATACATTAAAAAAAATGTATTTAGAATACCATATAAATACTTCAAAAAGTATTTAAATACTTGTATTCGAATTTCGAATACTTTACAAGACTGCCTATTTCTGCCAATGGTAATGTCGTAATGAATGGTCTACACTCGGAGTCCCCCTACACTATAGAGTCTACAGCACAATGTAGAATTAAATAGTTCAGTGATAATAATTAATAATATGAAAATCTTCTCTAGGTCATCGTGGTATACAATCTATACGGTATTCAGTTTGATTATTAGAACGAATGTCGAATTGAGATCTTATAATATTTATTATTTTAATAACAATATTATCATAGGCGCAATTTGGGGAGAGGGTGGCTTGGATGTGTTTAACAGTTCGCAACCCCAATTTTAAAATTAGTACCTACTACCATAGAACGATGCTACTACCTACCTCCAATTTTGTTCATGTTCATTTACATTTTAATAATCATTATGTAAGTATTCATACCATAAGCACCCCCCCCCCCCCCCCAGTTTATCAAATATATTTATTATAATTTATAAATTATAATATTTTTATTTGTGATTAAAATAATTGTTAATTTGAATCATAGACATATTAACTAAGTTAATATGTCTATGATTTGAATCACAGATATAAAATACTTTTATATCTGTAATTTGAATATCACTTTTTTATAGTTTTTATCTTATACCATAGAACAGTTTATACCACAGAATATAACAATACCACAGAACAATATTTATACCGATATCACGTTATCTCTTATCACATTATGCTTGTGAATTGTAAAAGTAAATATTTAAAATTTATTACCGTAATTCTGGCCATCTCACACTCAATATGGCTAAGGTATTTGGAGTTTTCAAGACTATAAGGAACAACTGGAAGAAGTCTGTGTTCTTCACTACTGTCCTGTCATACGGTGCCAATTTCGCCAACGAAAAATATGAGTGAGTCCCAAATAATTTCAGTACTTGCTGATCTTTTTCGAATAGATATTAATCTATTAATCTATAATTTTTGTTGAGGTGATGTGAAAAGTAGATTTATTCATTATTCAGATTACACTCAGTTATAGAGTTCCCACCTATATATATATATATCTGATTTCAATAGATTTTTGCTCACAGACAACTATCTCGTCAGTACTTTGATTAGCTTAGGACGTTTTGGTTAATCATAAGCTTGATGTAAAAAAAACAATCTATGTTATTCCATACAACATAACCTTTATTGCCATAACTTAACCCTGTTAATCTCCGGTGTTTGATATTTGATATAATATATTAAAATTTTAATATTTTTTTAGGACTCACATGTTTATGTCTCAATGCTGTAGAACTGTTTCGGCTTACGGAGATATGCCATTATCGGTCGACAAAAAGCCAAAAAAAGTAACAGTTATATTGAATCCAGCAGCTAACAAAAGGTATATTTTATTTGTAAAATTATTTTGTACTTAACATAATTATTATTCTCATTTGGTTTTAACTTATATTTAGAAACTCTAAATCAGATTTTGAAAAATATTGTGCTCCTCTATTATATTTGGCTGGTTACTCAGTTACAGTCCTCACAACAGAACGAGAAGGCGGTGCTAGAAGTTTGGTAGAAAATTTAATCGGTGAAACAGATGCTCTTATTGTAGCTGGAGGTGACGGTACTCTATCAGAGGTATTTTTAAAATTATTATTACTTTCACAATAGAATTATATTTAATTAAACAAAGGCGAAAGTGATATTTTAAATAAAATGCAGGGTGTCATTACGCTTAGTCTCAACAACCCTTTATCTAATTAACATTTTTGAAAATTATTTCTGTGTTAAAGAACATTAATATTTCTCTACCTGACTTTTTTTCTGAACAGAAAAACGTACAAGCTTTTAACATAAATCATACCTAATTATTTAATAATGTAAAATATTGACATCAGGAAGCCTTACAAATTGGTCATTCCAGATTTTTAAATTATATAAAACCAAAATATTTAATTTAAAATGGTTTTAACTAAGTTAAACATGGTGATTGTTTCATACTTTACCAACATCTTAGGAAGTATAAGGAATTTAAAAAAAAATCATTAGTAAACACCAGTGGCGGAGTGGGAACCAAATCCAGCCCGGGAGCTTAAAATGTATCCAGGCCACCCACCAAAAATGTTTTATTTCCATGAGAATTTTATTTTCAATGGCCATTAGCATAAAAGACTCAAGGTGTTCATTGGCCATTGGATTTCTTAGCCTGTTTTTTAAATAATTCAATGTTGAAAATGACCTTTCACAAGCAATTTGCGTAATGGGGAGGGTTAAAATGTATTGATATGTTATAGTTAATTTCGGGTAAGCATTTGCAAATAAATTATATTTAATTAAAACATAACAACATATTACACAGTTTTTACAAGACTTGTTACACAGTTTCACAACATCTGTACTCTCTAGGTCTTCATTTTCAGAGTCGCTTCCATATGATTGTTTATTATACCCCTCATCAACAGATTTTTTTTAAAAATGCCATAGTTTTCCAAAATTAAAAAGTTCATCAGATAGATTGTTTTTATTTCATTTTCACTTAAATTATCATCAATAAATGGTTTAATTTTGTGAGATAATTTTGTTAATGAATCAGTCGGAAGTCCACTTTTTAATAAATTGAAATTTGATGGAGATAATAAAGATAGGTCAATCAACAAATCATTATTATTTGAAACCCGTTTATTCATGCTTTCAATAATAGTGTTGGACCACACTGTTGTAAATTATCAAAGTAAAGTGACCAATAATACAAAATTAATATGTATTATCATTGATCATTATAAGTACAAAATACTAGTATTAGACATTAGTAGTATTTATAATCAATGGTATTATTAGTTATTATTAGCCATTTGGCATTGATATATTCATCGCCACTCAACAGCCCTACAGGGTACAACTTGCAGGTTTCAACAGGCGGAAATGCGTGGAATCAGTAATTTATATTTTATAATTTCTTAGTTGGTACCTAATTAGTTCTGTTGGATTGAACCGAGACCACACACTATCTGGGTGTTTTATTATAAAAATAACTGATTTTCATCAATATTATATTGCTTTGATTTTATTTCATGTCTATATTTATGTACCAAATATTTTGTAATTGTATATCCAAAGCTTTCTCATAAGTAGTTATGTATACGATTGTTCGAGGCTATTATAATGTACTATTATTGCATTAATAATATTTGTAATACAATAATTTAATAGAAACAAATTTTTAGCATTTAGCATTAGCTAATTGTAAATTAAATTGAATTTAAAAAAAAATCTAACAAAATGGCCAGGCCACTGGGCAATAGTATGGTCTAGGCCATCTGGAAAATTCCCATTTCCAAACCGGCCACTCCGCCCCCGGACTAAACACTCTACTTGACTTATTCATTAACAAAACATTTTAGTGATGAAATTTGAGATTGAACACATTTAAAGCAACAACCTGCCAATTAATACTCAAATTTTCAAAATACCTTTTATTTATTTACCTTGATTAATCATTTTACTTGATATATACAAGTATAAAAAAACAAGAGATTTGATGTCCCCCATAATTTTGAGGAAGAGGCATGAGATTTTTGAAAATTAACAGGGTGGATATGGAATAAAAATGTTGAGTCTAAAAAGAATGTTTAGTCTCTTCTAAGTTATAACTTATCCAAAAACAAATGTCCTTTGGTACATTTTCAAAACTATAGTCAAACACCTATTAGTGAAAGTTCAAAGATTTTTTTATCAAGTAATAAAATTGAAACAATAATTGTATAATTTTGTTGTAGGTAGTAACTGGATTGTTAAGACGTTTAAAGGGGGATACATCTCTCACAGAACATTTACCAATCGGAATTTTACCTCTTGGACGTACAAACAATGTTGCTCGACAATTGTTACAACCCCAGGATGACAACCATGTGCATTTTCTTACCAACGCAACAATGGCCATTATAAATGAGGTTAATTCTGCTCATCCTGTTGTAAAAATTGAAAATTTGGAGGTTAATTAGTTTTTGATCCAATTTAAATTATGTAAATTTATACTTATCTCAATTTTAACAACTATTACAATATAGAGTCCAAATCCCGAAAAATGTGTGTATGCTTTGAATAGTATTGAATGGGGTGCATTGAGAGAGGCCAAAGTGACCCGTGATCAATATTGGTATTTTGGTAAACTGAGAAATTTTGCCGCTTTTGTGTTTGGCAACCAATTTCTCCAATACACAGTGGATGCCGACCTAGAATACAGTCCTCCATGCTCTGGTTGCAGTAACTGCTATAAAAAATTAACCACTGTCATCAACAAATCGTCAAGTTTATTTTCCTGGATAAGTTGGGTTTTTTCATTTAAAAGAAATTCTGGTGAGTACCCAATGCTAATTAATATATCAAAATATTTATTAGTATATTTTATAAATGCTTATTGTTTTAATTACAGGTGGTACAGATTATTCAAAAATAAACAATCCTGAATGCAGTAATTATTCAAAAGTTCCAATCAGAACTTTTAATGTCAATATTAATTTAGATGTCAAACAGACACCAGTTTTAAGAATAAATGTTGGTCCAGAAAATATTTCTTACTCTGAATTTGTGAAAGAAGGTTATTTAAAATTTAGAGATGAAAATAGTAAAATTCCAAATTCCGTTATAGAAGCTAAAGATGTGACAGTAACACCTCATATTGATGATGTATTACCAATATTTAATTAATTTACTATAACTGAATATAGTGTTAGTTATGCTTTAGTTACATTTGTATGTGTTTTTTAGGAAATTAAATGGCTGTCAATTGATAATGAGGATTACGAAGTTAAGCCAATGAAATTGTCATTATTACCAAATGCGGTATATTTATTCAAGCCTGACAATTCAATAAGTCAAAATCAGTCTCAAAATAAAAGCGATCAAGAATCAAGTTTGTCATTAGATAAGTTTAGAAATCACATTGGTTTAAAACAATTTGTTTAATTTAATGTTATTAGTATGGACTTAAATATACGTACACTTATTATGTACATAATCTTGTACAGTTATTTCATATTTGATTATTAAATTTGTAAAACTAGGCACATAAATTCCGATATATTATACAACTTTTTGTTATTAATTGTTAATAAAAAAATTTCTTAATCTAAAAAATATACAGAGAAATAAAAAATTTACTAGTCAGCTATAATGTTAGTAAAATTTTATATTTAGAATTAACTATCAAAGTAGCTGGAGTAAAGTTTTAAGTTATTTGGTTACGTCATAATGTGATTAATAAATAAATTAATTGTAAAATGTAGCTTTTCAATAATTATTATACACTATAGAGTATGTTCCGTAATCCGGATCATCCTTAGTATCTCCGTGGCAAATCAATATTGTATTTTAAATTCTGTTTTATACAGTTATAAGTTATAACTTATAAGTATGAGAATTCTAATCAATAGCGTTAGAGTCAAATTTTTTTCAACTTTCAAGACAAGATTTTTAAAAGCAGTTTTAAAAAAAAAAATTAAAATCGAGTGAAAATCGATTAAGTTAAAATAAATTAAGTTTTTGACTTGTAAGAATTAAAGTTACGTTAGCAAAATTAAATGTTTAGTAAAACCCGCCATTAAAGTATTATGAGAGTAGGTACCTAATTTTTGTTATAACTTGGTTTGGGTGACCCCTACCATAGACAATAGAGTATCACGATAAAGTAAACTTGACTTAATAATAAGTAAGTTTACTTTATCATGTAGATACTTCATTACTCTTTCCACATACTCGGATACTCCCATGCAGTGGGGCAACCAGGGGGTGGTTTATATACCTAGTGGCTAGACGTAATAATGTAACATTGTAAGGTCCCCCCAAAATTTTTTCTAGTTGCGCCACTGCTCCCCTAGTCCCATATTAATATATTTTAGGGCCGTATGGCGTATAAAATAGGCCATAGAGTATGGTCATCACTCATTCACTGGTGCAAATGTGCGATAAGCCCCTAGTCCCTACTCACGTCGTACACTTGGAGTCATGGTGTAGGTGTAAGAGGGGTAAAGCCGTTACCCCCCCCCCCCCCTGACTATACGTATTACGTATATACGTATTATAAATATATAACTTTAAAGTAAGTAAGTAAATTTAATGTGTAAATAAATTCTTTAAGAAATTTCAGCAGCTTTTTCTCAATTCCCTAATTCCGCATAGTTGATAGCAGATGCCAGATAGGTTATACCACTTATACCTACTCAATAAATTATAATATGAATAGAAACTTAATCCAAATTTTTTTTTTATATAATTCATGCTTTTAAACATGAAAACAAAATTGTTTTTTGTGTTATGGCTATAGAGTATAGAATTATATACAATTATTTTGTTCTGTGATTATAGTAGATAAAGGTAATGCTCAAGGTGGATATCCACCTTACCTTGCCACCTTGGTAATGCTGATATTATATCAGATAACAACATATTGTGCAACCGTACAAGTATGTGGACTCGGCTTAAATACCTTTAAATGACCTCGCCAGAGATGTAGCGGTCCCATGGTGTAATGGTTAGCACTCTGGACTCTGAATCCAGCGATCCGAGTTCAAATCTCGGTGGGACCTTGTACTTTTTTGCATTTTTTACATTCACGTTTAATTTCTATTTGGCTTTCCCTTGCAACTTATTGAACTTTTTGTTCATACCAATTTTATTATGAATTTCTCGTGATATATGTTATGAGGTTACGATACCAGCCTTTGTAGTCCTGTCTTGACTACGAAATACAATAATCTATATTAATTAGTACCAACATAATGAGCAATCGAATAATCAAAAACATCCATACATACACGTATTACTTGCTTAGTAGAATAAAGTCTGTAATGGATAACATAATGGTTATTATTAATATTTATTATTATTCCAATTCAATTTATAGACTTGCTTTACTTTTGTAGTTTTTATTCATTAATCAATTGAAATAAATTTCATTCTCATCAAATATGTGAAGTCCCGAAGTGGATTTGTAGAAATACATTTTTAAACTCAACTAGTCACTATATCTAGAAGGTGGACAAGTGGATACCTCTCAGTTGTACAGTGTAGTTATCGAGTATGTCATTGTAATGGATGTGTTATATTTATATTATATTGAGTTCAATAATAAACCATTTGAACAACGATTCTGGATACGTAATGATAATGTGATATCCTAGCATACTTATGTATAAATAATCAAAAATGATAATTTAAAAAAATAATTAATAAAAATCGAAAATTTCTCATGGCTATAAATTGCGTAATTTTAGATAAACTTTTTTTTGATAGAGGGAGAAAAACTTTTGAATCTTCTATTAAAATGTCTAATGTTAGCTATGAAAATAAAAACTTAAGAATTTCTAACTGAAAAATAACTTACAAATGTTGAAATAATTCTCATGGCTATATAAAGAACTCCAAGAGTCAAAATAGTTTGAAAATTTTACCATGTATGGAAAATTCTAATATAAAATATTTGGTGAACATTTCAAGAGTCAACAGTTTTCCATTTTTGAAATACAACAGAATATCAATAGATGACAATTCGTTAATTTATTGGTGAAAATCCAATATTGAAAAATGTTAAGATAATAAATAGTTCGTAAAAAATGAACGTGACTTTCCGGTAAAATTTTTTTGTTTAATGTAAAAATTTGAAGGGAATCTAAAATTTCTAATGTTAGCTATGAAAAGAAAAACTTTTATGGATTTCCAACTGAAAAATCGTTTGAAAATGTTCGGCATTTTGATGAATTTTGTCAACATTTGAACTTTAAATTCATATGAAAAATAATCGTTTCTATGTATTTTTAATATTTCTGAACTTCCTTAATAAACTTATAATCAATACTAAACTTAAATTCAATTTTTAGGCGTTTTTACTTAGTAAAAAAATTCTTATCGAGTAAAATTGAAAAAAATCTTTCTTAAAGCTATAACTAGCTCAAAAAGGTTCAAAATATTTCGAAAATGATACCATTCTCGGAAAATGGCGAATATCAATGTATTTTGAAAATTGGCGTTGGGTAAAAATTACTCCTTTTTTCACATTTTTTTTTTTATATAACGTCACTAAGTACTAACTTACAAACAATAAATGGAAATATTTAAATAGATTAGTGTGTAGGTACTATATAAGGTAGCAATACAATATGTAGCATTGATTATAAATGTCCTAAACTCTATACGTATAGTGTGGGAAGGCTTTGGGGGCTTTAGCCCCCTCGGGATTTGGTTTAACCCTTCCCATACATTTTTTTTAGCTACATTTTAGATTTTGAGCGGAGCGATAAATGTATTGATTTTACAATGATATGTGTTTTTTTTTGTACTTTTGTGTAATTTGTGTATTTTTGTGTACCTTTTAGGGCAGTAAAAATGCTTAGATTTTCTTCAGTATCTTTTCTGATAAGAAAGTGAATCTAGTTTGTACCTTGGGGGGTCAAAAGTAAAAATTTCCCAGTAGTTTTCAAAAGCGTCGTGAAAACAAAAGAAAAATTAAGGAAAATCGGGAATTTGTACTCAAAATCTGTTTTCGAAAAAATCGATTTTGGTTTTTGGTGCAATTCTTAAACAAATGACAATTTGTACATACAATTTTGATTGAATGTTTATATTAGCATTTTCTATACACCATAACATTTCCCAAATATTTTGACTTATTTTGAGCTCTTTACGGACATTATTAATTTTCAGTTTGTTTAGTATTTTTTCTATGATTGTCAATAAAATTTTATAGTTTTGTAAAAAATTAAAAATCCTTAGTCACAATTTTTTTTTTATAAGCATTTAAAGTTCAAATATTGTCAAAACACGTACAACTGACGAAAATTTGAAAATTATTTTGAGTTATAAAATCATAAAAAATTTTCTTTTTAAATCATAAATCTTTATCAAAAAAAAAAAATGTCTACAAGAAAGTCAAATTAAATTTTCAGGAGCGTTTGAAATTCATATTTGTACAACATTTGATATTCACTGGATTACTCATGTTACGATTTTCTTATTTGATTGTAATTAAAAAACGAATGACTGTAGATACTTGAAAATTTCACTGAATGTTTATATTAGCATTTTCTATACATCATATAATTTTTAAAATAATTTGACTCTTTTTGAGTTGTTTACGGGCATTGTCAGTTTTCAATTTTGTTGGGTAAAAAAGCCTGAAAATTTTATGCTAGGTGCCTGATATATTGTTACAATTTATAGCAGTTGAAAAATATTAAAAATACATGGGCACAAATTTTTTTTATAAGCATTTAAAGTTCAAATGTTGACTACATGTATCACATTTAAAATTTAATAATTATTTTGTAGTTAGAAATAGGTATATACAATGTTCAACTTTTATAGCTAAGGATTGAAAATTTAAAACAAGATTCCAACTATATAAGTACTTAATTCTGTTACTTTCTAAAGTGTACTATCACAGATTATATGAAATATAATTATATTTTTTCATATATAATCTGTGGTACTAATGCGGTACTATCATATTATGGATGGTTGTTTAATTTTTAGCAAACGGACGATAATGGGCCGGGTCTACAGGGCCTGTGAGGCTAAACCTAAATATACCTCTGAAAATTGTAATGCCTACCCAAAAATGATTGACTATAACCAGTATAACCCATTACCTCCCCCCCCCATATCACGATTCACGGTAAGCCCGTGCAGGGGCGGATTGGGCCACCGGGAATTCGGGAGTTTTCCCGGTGGGCCGCTTTTTCAAATAACTATGTATTCTTAAATTCCTATTAGGTACCAGCCCAGTAAATTTTTCCCGATTTTTCAAAATAAGATAATACGAATTGGATTGCGGACAGTATGCAATAGTAGGTATATCAGGTAGGCAATCTATGATGGCGCAACGATGAGAGACAGAAAGCAAAAATATAGTATTTTTCGAAAAGCAAAAACAGCAAATGTAATATAGCGGGGTCACTAGTTAGGACAGTTAA